AATTCTTGTGTCCTTGTAAAACATCCACCTTGAATTAGGAATTTAATTTTGCACAAATCTTTGTCTTCTGTTTATCTGATATTTCTGTAAATATATCCTTCTTGAACAGGATCATTCATTTGGGAAAAGGTTTTAGATGAAACTGGTGTTTGTCTTTTTCTGAATTAATAATTTTAAGAGTTGCTGAAAAGCTGCACTTGGCATTGCTTCACCAAAGACTACTTTTGCTTCTTTAAATTAACCTGGACTGATTTTAGACCTCAGAAGAGGTAAAAAAAAAAATCCCTTTATCGCTCAGACTGCCATCAATTTGTTGTCTCAGTCTGGATGCATTTTTTAGATTTTATCACAGGAATTCACTTGAATTATTTCTACTTTATCAGCATTAAATGTAAACACATAACACACTAAAAGAAAAGGGATCAGTGTCACATCACTTCACATTTAAGTGGATGGAATTTACCAAAATTTCAGATAAAACTAAATAAAATGAAACACAAGAATGTCTGAAACTTGTTTTGAAAAGTTGAGTGAATTTGTCTTTCAGTCGTGATGCACCCAAGTATGAATAATCTGCTGGTTTCTGTTTGGCAGAAAATAATGGAATACATGATTTAAAAGGATCAAGCTGAGTGTTTTATGATTAAACATTGTACAATTCAATCTTTTTCATTTATTATTTCATATAATTTCTGCTGAGCTTGAGCACATGAGACATTTTGAACTTATTGGACACATTTAGTTGGATGCGGTTCTGTTCAAATTTTGTGATGACCCAAAGAACAGTCTTTAAATGGTGAATTTTATTTTTCAACAAATTACACTGAAATCGCACCACATCCACAATGTTAACCTCCCTTGCTGTGGCTGACACTCTAATTATACAGAGGTGTTTGGAAGAATGGACTGGCCTGCTGCTGCAGTGTACCTTAGGATAAATAAGCTGCGGCCACCAAGAGGGCCGAAGCAGTGGCGGTCCTGCTGGCCTTCCCACACTCCCTGTAGGACTTGATCCACAGCTCAGCACAGCGGCCTGGATTAGCCCTATACGCACCTTTGTGGAGGGAAAGATTATCCAGACCTCCCTGCATTCACTGACAGGGTTTAAGTCACTCTAGCGTGCCAGCAGCCACCCGTCACCTAATCACACTCTCCAACTCATTTTTTTGTAATTAAGCAGATTTTCTTCTTCCTGCTCCTCGGTGTCAGAGGTGTTTGCTGCAGTCTGGACGCAGCGGTTGGATCTCAAACTTAATAAAATGATCTAACCTTAATGGTGGCACATTCTGGGGGCAAACTGTAGAGATTTCTGGTTGACAACTAATACAAAAGTTAAACTGTGTTTCTTTTTGCTCAGTAAAGCTCAGTTCTTTGTGTGGTCGCTGCCACAGAAGATGCCATACTGATGATTGGGGACTGAAAGTCTGTGTTTAGGGGAGGAGGAGGGGGGTAAAGGTGTGTGACTGGTCCATGCATATCTATTGATTGTGTTTGAATATTCTGGCAGTTAGGCCATCTGAGTTGGCCTCTCCCTCCACTCTCACCCCCCCAATCCTCCCCCTTCTCCCCCTGCCGAGTGCCCGGAGGGCCTCTCTCCCCTGTCATGTGGAGCTCTGTGCCCACTCAGCAAGTGCAGGCATATCCCACTTCCATCTGCCTATGACCTCACAGCCCCTGTTTGTTTAACCCCCTCTCCAAAAACTAACCTAATTATAGCCCTGTAGAACATGGATTCAGCGGATTCCCAGTGGATTCTGCCGCTGTGTGTGTGCGCACCTTTCTATGTGTTGCAGCAGCAGCAGTAGCATGCGACGCTCCGGCTCAACAGCAACAGCAGTGCCACAGGCCATGTTTCAGTTGGTCCTGTTTTTCACATGTCTCCCGTCATATTATGTCAGAACATGCCCTGCCAGTTGTGCATTTTGTGGGAGTATGTATGAACAGGGTGTAAAAAAGCAATAGGAGTGTGCTTGAAGTGTCTCTTTTTACGTCAGTGTGATGAGTGGAAAACTCATTACACAAATCTGGCCGACAGGCTGACGTTTGTGACATCATTGGCTCTCCTGCTCAACTGGCTCGGCAACTCGCTGCGGGGGCCACACCTTCGGAACATGCTCACCGTTCTTGATATAATCTCAAATCTGGAACCTTGTCTGATGCCCCGATCAGACATCAAGATCATAGTCTGAGTGTAACGGATGAATGGATAAGTGACTTCAGGGATTGCACCTGAGACAGACTGTATTGATTTGCCGTGGCTCAGACCACAGGGCCCTTTGATCTGAGATGCCTGTATGGTGGCCTGTCCGGCTTGACGAGGCCCGTCCAGAGCGGTGGGACCTGTGTGAGGTAGCGAGATTGACAGCGGGAGTGGGGCAGTGTGGAGGTGCGGGGGTTGGGGACGGGGGTTAATCTCTCTGAACTGGGGCAGATGTTGTTAACGAGCTCCTCTCAGGTCGACTCCCTGCGTGGGAAAATGGCATCAAATCCTTCTGGGGTCAGGGCTTTCGGGCTGACCCACTGAGAGGCATCCCTCTCCACTGCACCGTCCTCTGAGTCCCTCTCCATTCACTCAGCCAGTCATCCACTCATCTGCTGACAGCACTCACCGGAGACACTACAACATCACGTTTGACCATTTTCTTTTTTCTTTTTTACCAACCCTCCTCTTTCTAAGCACATCTCAAACGCTCAAGTCTTCACCTGAACATACGTGAGCACCGGCAGACTTGTTGCGTGTTGCAAATGTCTCATTAATGATTACTGTGGTTGGATTACCATGCCTTACACAGCCACAAGGAATGCTGAGTGGGAAATGCTTCAAAGACAAGCATGCCGCCACTCAAGAAACTGCATCGGCCCAGCAGCGACTTACTTGTGTTTATGTCAGAGGAAAGTAAATTGGGTGAATTAAGGTGTTAGAGACTTTCAGGCGCCTCGCTGCGATAGAGTAGGGTATGTGGATAAATTCATGGTGCAAAATCACGTTTGAAACAAATCAGAAATTGTATTTATTATTCTGTTAATGTTTATTTTTGTGTCAACCTGCTGTGTGTTAAAAATCATGGAACAATCGGGAATCAAGTGAGATCTTTTCAGGGACTCAACCAACAATCTCTTTTAAATAATTGCAGCTAGGCAGAGGAGAAATTGCCGAACCCTGGGCCGTGTTGTTGTTTGACCTATGTACAGACTGAAAACACTGTACATAAGTTACCTGTGATGTGGCTACTCCTCATCAGTCACATCCAGAATGGGCATGTCTCCGCACCATATCATGTCAACATGCTCGCTTTCGGGTTTATCCCGACTTAGATTTTAATGCGAGGGTCATCCATTAAGGTGTTTGACTCTGAAGGTGTGTTTATTTTGCCCCAGCAGGTGTGTGTGAATATGAGACTTGTCAAATATAAGAGAGGATTACCGCCTCTTTTGTCCCAAACAAAACAAATACAAATCACATGAAGGAGCTGAGATGGGAGGAATTGTTTTTTTTCACTTGCCCAGGCTGAATGTTTAGAGAGTTGTTTTTTTTTTTTTTTTTTCCTTGCCGAGGATCCTTTGACATTTTGTTCAGCTGAGGTTTCCTTGAACTTGTTTTCGCTTGTAATTGTGGTTAGAGGAAGATGTGTAAAACCACACACGCACACATATATGCAGAGCACACAACAGGGAATAAAACCAGATTAAGAGGCTTCTTCCTGAATAACCTGTAATGACAATGCAAACGGTCGGTCCTAATGCATGTTCAGGAAACACCGAGTGAGTCATTCTAGTGTAAAAGTGTATCTGCTGCAGATGGTCTCTTTCTGTGATGTGCATCACTTTGTCGGTGAACACTGGAGCATGTCGTGCTGCTTTTTAATTTGCCAAACTAGAGTTGTGACCCCACTTCTGACCTTTCTTGGAAGCCTGGAAAAATGGGGCCAAGTGTATGTGTGCCGACGTATATGCTATGCCTAGGGACAGCGAAGTGAGTACGGGACTCCTGCAAGACAATGCAAAGTCAGGGGGAGAGGGACTTGAGGGGGTGACAAGGGGGGAGATTAGGCCTCTCATCTAGGCCACAGATATTGATTAGTGTTTGTTGAGGACAGTGAGAGGGAACACAGATTGACAGACGCACAATGGCGATGTTGTGACTCTGCTCCATCAGACACCCTCTGATCGGGTCACTATTGTCAGGAGGTGTTTCCATTCTGCACCCCCCCCCCCCCAAAAAAAACAAACACACACATCTAACCATACAAATACAGTCGCACATATTTGGGGGGGAGAGTTATCAAATGCAGCCAAAGTGCGAGAAAAGATTTATCATGCAAGGGGCACTGGCCAGGTTGGGGGCACTTTGTCTTTTAGTGTAGTCCGGTTTATACGTGTATGTGGTTTATGGGAGTGTAACCCTGGGAACATGGGGGGAGGTGGGACACACTCAGCTACGGGTCAGTCCTGACTGACTCTGTCACTTATTGATTAGTTGCCATGGAGAGTTAGTCAGGCCATCTCTCTTGGAGGTGTGTCCCCGAGGGCCAGCAGCTCTGCCCAGATGAGCCTGTGGAGGCTTTTGTCTGCAGGGGGTTTATGTGTGTGTATGTGTGTGTGTGTGTTGAGTACACTGTGTGTGTGTGTGAGTAAGAGCTTTTGACCTCGCCAACTCTCACTCATGCTTCCCTCATCTCCTCTTTTTGCCCCCACTGTGGCACTTTTACTTGTACTTTACTCTTGCCCCCCCACCCCACCCCACACACACACACACACACACACACACACACACACACCCCGAGTGGACTGTGGCTCCCGACTAATCTGCGATATCTTCTGAGAAAATACATCGATGTTTATGCATACACCTACTCCCGGGGGACCGGCGATAATGGGGATTGTAAACAAATTGTCCAAACTTATTGAGCTGTGAAATCCCCTTCATAGCCCCTGGATTTGCCTACTTATATGATCCTCTCTCATCTCTGTTTTTTGTGTTGTCATTGTTCCTATCAAAGACGGAGGAGGAGAGGGAGCCGTGAGTGCAGGACGGGAGCTGGATGGTCAGGACTCTGTGGTGCCAGAGGTACACCTGACGACTCCAGCGACAGCCCAGCAGGGGACGGTGACGGCGTCGGATCTCACACCTACCTGGAGTAAAAAAGTAGATTCAGGACTTCAGGTAGACAACAGGGCAACGTTACCAGCAGAAACGAGGTGGTGGATGAGGGATAAAGAGGCGCAAAGATGATTCAGTTCAGGATGCTTTATGTTGTTTTGAGCATGAGATCTTATATTACAAAGGCTGATGTTTAGCAAAATTATCTGGAGATTGTTTGGCAACACATTTAAAAAGTTTTAAACTTAAAAAAAAAAAAAAAAATTAGTAATAGAAATTTCTACTTACAAAGTGCATTTGCTGAGATCAGGTGACATGGAGGCAATAATAAAAGTTTATTCAACTCTCCAATTGCTTATTTCCAAAGAAAATAATGGCAAAGGCTTTCACCCAAACTGTCCTTTCTACAAAAGGTTTGAATGCCATATTTTACTGCAGTTGTACACTCAGGCTGTCTGGCTTGAACTGCTGATATATTTTCTAAAAACTTTCTGTTTCACTTTCTTTCTTTCCTGCTCTGTCTGCCTGTCTCAAAAAACGATAGAAAACGTTGCGCCAAACTGTGGCTCCAAGTTGAATTAAAGTACTTTAAATTCCTTTTTTTTCTTCTCTCGTTAAAGAACAGCTGACTGTACATTTTCTTAAAGTCTCAAGGATAGTTTCTAAAGACTCGTAGTAAACTCTGGGACTTGATTTTCACCTCAAGTTGTAAATTTATGGTCAGAATGATGCAAACTTGTTCTCCCTTTCAGAATATGCGCACAAACTTCTTCAGCCGAAACTTGACGACGGGCCCCCTCTATCCCTCCCTAATATCACACCTTGGATGCATAAACATGCCTGTGCTCCACACATCACCCCACCCCGGGGGGCCTGCATGGCTTTAGTGCCGCACTGTGACACCAATCAGGGGAGATGGCGGGCTCCTTTGTCATGCAAACACCACTCGCTTCTTGTCTTATTCAAATGTCTGCCCTCTCTCTTTCTCCTCTCCCTCACTCTCTCTCAACCCCTACCCTGCCTCAGCTCCCCCCCCAGCCTCACCCCTCTTCCCCTGCACCCCCGACTTCAGCCCTCTCTCTCTGTCTCTCACTCCATCTCAAGTCCAAGTAAATCCTCGCTGAGAGAAGAGGGAGCCTCCGGGCCCGGGGCTGCTGAGGCAGGCCTCTCTCCTGGGGGTCAGCCTGTGTCTCAGCGCATGGGGCTGTTTCCAGGCCCAACCAAGTCCATTTCATATTCAAATGTTACAATCAGGCCTCTGACCCACAGGGGGCTCTTTATGGTTGCGGCCCCAGGTCGCAGGGTCAAGATGGTGATTTAATAGCTCGGGCAGAGGAAAGGAGTGGGGGAGCAAAGTGATTTAGGGGATGAATGAGTAATAAAAAAGCATTTTTCCTAAGTTGTCATGTAAATTTCAATCCGTATTCAATATGAGGCTCCCTCTACACTAGAGACCTTCCTCAATGGCTTTCTAGTGGACTTAAGTCATTCAAAATTAAGAAAGTCCATTTTCTGCTTCCACTCTTGACTTGTGCTTGGTGTAAACAGTAGCTGATGGTGGAGCGGCCGTGGTTTAGGGATGGAGATAAGGAGACGCTAAAGAGTCATCGTTCTTGTGTGGTGCCACTGTGTCTCATTTGTCCTCTTGCTCTGGAGTGGCCTGTTATTCCTGTCCCTGAGGGTGTGTTCCCAGCACAGCGGCTCCACCAACACTTCTCAGCGTTTATGTACATACGTGTGATCGAGAAGAGTGGATGTAGGCTAATGTTTAATGAGCGTATAGACGGAAACTCATGAGGCTTTTTGATCTACAGCTGGAGCTATACGCTGGTGGTGTAGAAAACCCTTAGACCTGTCACGCTACGTTGCAAACAACTCCCAGTGTGTTACAACACAGGCACCACACCAAAATGTTCTCGATCTGTTACTCACTTGGTGTGTCCTGTTCAGGCCTTCCATTGATCTGACTCATTTGAAGCACAAACAAACATTGGCAGCCTGTTTGACGATGAAACTGGTTTTATCTCTCTGTTTTTCAAATCAGCATTTTAAAAAAAAATAAAAAATGTAACCCACAGAACCCCTAAACCTGCCACTGGTTTGAAAGGCATATTGTTGGTTTAAAAAAAAAAATCACCAAAATTACACTATTTATCAGCCAGCAACTGTAAAAACAGAATTTTGGGGGGATTTTCAACTTTCTGACAGTTATCTGTGTTGTCTTCTTCCACCTGGAACATTAACCAAATCAGTGCCTAAAAGCCTGATGTTTAATTATAATTATTTTATTCTACATGTCTTATTTTATAAAGTGCCAAAAAACAAACATTTGTTCTAATCAGATATAAAATAACGAAAGTTTGTGCACCTCGATGCAACCAAAAGGCATCGGTGCCTCAGCTGCCATCAGTAGTTATGTGACAGTAATTGAGGGACTTTGCAGCTGAACTGCAGGCAGGGTTTCCACAGAGCAGGTAGGTGACAAGTATGAAAACTATGTAAAATTGTTGGTAAAGTACCGATCACTTGTGGTTTGTTGTAGTGTGTGTACAGTCACCTTTCTTTCCCCATTATCTCTAACACCTGTCGGCACTCGGAAAAATGTTGTAGATCTTTTTAAAGTTTTTGTAAAATGAAGAATCAAAGAAATTAAATTTTCATTTTCGTTCTTTTCTATCATTCGCTGCATTTTAACTGTGTCATACTGCACAAAAACATTTTTATGCTCTCTCTACTTCAAGCCATGGTTGTGTAGTTTCCATAGAGGTGTAGGACTTTACTGAGTCAACGGTTAGTAAAAAAGAAAAAAAAAAAGTAACATCAGAAACTGCGTGGGGTTCAGAGGATTATTGAAATGGAAAAAAAAAAAATCTAATTAGATACCCAGTGAGTGACAGCAGCAACTACAGACGTGAACAAACCGTTTATGAATGAATGTTGTGTTGGGATGACACACCCTTTAAAAATGATAAACACCATTCACAAATCAGTTACAAGAACTAATTTGTTATATATGTGCATGTAAGCGCAAACTCTTATAAACACACAGACTAATCGTTTATATCATGCCATTAACTGACACATTAGACCTTCCAAAACTTAACATATCTAAATTAGCTCCAGTTGTTCAACTGTTCGCACTACATGTCTTGGAAAGGATGATATGCCAGCTGAGAGACTCTGGAAAACTGGAAAACCCACTGATCAATTGATTCATCAAGCACACATCCTGTACTCCATAATCCCAACTGTGCACATAGTGATCTTTCTGTTAATACAAAAATCCCCATTACAGCTTTTCTTTAGAACTCAGCGTAACCCTGTTTCAGAGGATTACATGTCCAAAGTTTTGCTTTAGACTGAACCACCTTTTATTGTACGAACACCTTCATCTCATCTTTGGCTTCACCATGAGGCGTAGGCCGAGCTTTATCTCATGTGAAAATGTCAGTGGAGGTGAATACGCTGACATGTGTAGCATCCACTAACAGTAGAAGGGGGCCAGAGGCGGAAGGCAACATGTTTGGGTGAGGTTGAGGGGCCACTGCGGGGCAAGGTAGGGCAAGCCTCAGTAGGCACAGCTGTAGCTCATAGTCATTACTGCTCCTCTGCTGGTTTAGAAGAAAAGGGCCGCTCCCGCCACATGGCCGGTCTGCCACGCCTGCCCCCTGTCCCCTGCCACACACACCCACCGAGGCCTGGTAGCGCCAGGCGGCACCACTCGCAGTTTGCACTCCTCTCACGTGTGGCAAAGGCAGCCGAGCAAAACAGAGAGGTGTTGCAGGGTTAGAGACGGGGGGGAGGCGGGGAGGGGTGAGGAGGGAAAGACGGGTGGGTGTAGAGGTTAAACCAGGGTAGGGGGGCTCTGTTCCTTCCCCTCTTATCTCCCGACTGACCATTCTCTTTCCCATCCCATCCCCTCCTCCACCCCTGCATCCCCCCCCATCCTCCCCCTCCTCCCCCCTTTTGTGGCCTGTGCACCTGCAGCCCTTGAGTCTGGGCAATAAAGCTGAAGGATTTGTCGACTGGAGGTTGGAGGAAAGTGGGGGGATCATTAGACAGCATGGGAAACACAAAAGCAACAGGTTCAAACTGTGGTTGTTTGATATGGTGCTATGCCATATTCCAGAGTGATGGGCTTGATGTAATGCAGTTTGACACAGAGAGAGCGAGTTTAAGCAGATTTGAGGCCAGATTTACAGCCTGTTTGGGTTAGTGTCATTATGAATCAGTTTGATCATAATGACTCATGATCAGCTTCCAACCCGTGGCACTTCCATTTAGGGGGCCTCGTGTATGTAACATGAACAAATCTCCGCTGCTCGGTGGAGATCGTATAGCTCTGACATGCCAACATTTTTACTGAGCTGAGCCCTGCATTCACCTTTGAGATGGTGACATTTCCCCCCCTTTTAAAACAAACAAACAAACAAACTCAACAAGTAAAAGGAGCTTATCAGTTCATCAAAGAACACCTTTTTTATTTGGTTAATTTGAAAAGTAGGAAAAAAAAACAAATTGGAGAAAGTGACAAAATGTTAAAAAAACAACAAAAAAAATAGTAATCACAAAAATAAAGCTGATGTGTCTAATTATAGCACACGTACAAAGGTCTTATTTTACAATAAAACATCAGTAAGGCTTTCATTTCCTTGAACCTGCTAATGTGGAGTCGTATATGTTGAATGTTGAATTTAGTTTTTTATGTTATTTTTATTAATGTCAGTTCTGCATCAACCTTCCGTTAAAGACATTATTCTCTGTTATGTTTTAACTTTATTTTTCTGAACATCTCTGGGACCTAAAACTTCAATTATTTTTTTAGAAAAAAAAAATCTGAACATCTCTGGGACCTAAAACTTCAATTATTTTTTTAGAAAAAAAAAAAGGTATTCAACTCCAAAAACCAAATGTTTTTTTGTAACAATCTCCCTCCAGGGTGAATCATTTTCTTATGCACATGCACCGTAAAGAAAATGGCCGGTGATGTTCTCTGCAGGAAGGCAGTGTGCAATAAAAGTTTTTTAAAGATGTCAACCAAACTGTTATAGTTGTTCAGTTTAATATATAGATGAAGGTAAAATTGTGAAAGAGCCATGTTCTGCAGAATCTCTGTTGAATTCCCCACCTGTTGTAATGTTATGTTCAGTCATGTAGAACTTTTCTCTCACCAGTTGCATGCCAGACCCCCCACATTGTAAATCGGTGCAAAGGGAAAAAGATTCGGCTCTTTCAGAAAGCGACCATGAAGGCAGAGGAAATCACTCTAAACGGTCTTAATTCTACCATTAGATGAGAGGGAGCGCTGTGGGGATTGGCTGGCCCTACGCTTCCATATTCACAGAAGCAGG